AGTGCTATGTAGATTCTTAGTGGCCAGTGAAGATTTTGTTTTTAAAAGATTGTGTCTGTGTTTGGTCAGTAAAGCTCAGGCAGAAGGTAAATGAAAGAACATTACTTTAAAGGCATTAAAGAACATGACGAAGAAAGCATTTTTAGTGCAAAGCATTCCATACAGGGTGGAAGTACAGACTGGGCACAGAGTAGCAAAACACAGGCTGTTTGCCGTCTCTGGATGCAGTCCATGGGCAACGTGATTGCTGCTCTAGCATTCACTGCCATAAGCTAGGACCAATACGAGACATCTCAGGTTCCATTATTCCCTTCCTCTTTCTTTCTTCCCTCTCTCCTTTCTTTCCTTCCACACTCAATTCCTCCCTCCCTTCTCTGCATTTTTCCTTTTTTTCCTTTTGAGAGTCCACATGAACCTTGGTTTAAAAAAGACTAATTCCCATCTCTTATAATCAAGCCTACAAATCAGTCAAACATAAAAATTGTTTTATTGTTTTATTTCATTTGTAAAGCTGGGAGAGGGGTATATTTTAGAGAAAACAGATTGAACCAAAAAAAATGACTTTGCCTAAGTCATTTAACCTGTTAGACCGTACATTCCTCATTAGTGAAACAGGTTATTAAACTGCACACTTTTTAGCTGACTTCCGGCTCTAAAACTTCATGGTTCTAACTTTCTAATTTTTAAACTATCTTGAGATCTTTCAGAAAGGTAATAGCTGTGTGTGCATGCTTATTACCAAATGCCAGTAATGAGTCATCATCAGTGGGATCAAATTTATAAAAACTTGAACTAGATAAATGGTACAATAAATCAAGAAATACTGTATTCGAGCAAAGTCTCAAAAACAAGTGTTTATACCAAATATATGATTAGATGTTCTTGGTCCTTACATTGGATTATTTTTCCACTTATTTGAGAAAGGCTTCATGAAAGGAATGGGGTTTGAAGGAGTTTTTAAAACTTTGGTTTATCTTTAAGGGCCGAGAAGAGATTTGTATAATTTATACTGCCACGTATTCACAGCTTTCCTAGTAAAAGGAGAAAACTTCACTGCCTTTTTTGCTGCATACTAAGAAAAACATATTTCTCTATCCTTTTGAGTGAAATTATTTTTTTAAAAAGAAAGAAAGAGAGCATTACCAAATCAGATATCCTTATCCTGTCTATTTAAACTTCACTTATGTATTTATGTATTTTCTGCTTACTGTATGGAACTATACCTTATATTTTAAAGTTGCACAAATATTAGCATGCATCCTTGTTAATGATACAAGCTACCATTCATGATTTGGAGTTGACAGGTATTTTGGGTAAAATATGGACCAAATAATAAATGTCTTGAAAGAACAGATTGTATAGACATATTCATTAGGAACATAAACAGGATGAGGTGGATCCCGAAGAATGTCCAGAATGAGCTAGTGCATCATGCTAATGAGGATCAGAGGCTTCCAGATATATGTGCATTTAAGGACGTTTGATATTGCCTCTAATGACCTCTTAACTAGCATCTTAAATTTTGATCAGTTTTAGATTTTTCTGCGGAAGAAATTAAAAGAGAAAAAATATCATTATCGAATATAAGCAGCTTGCTCTCTTTCTTGTCAATGTATACCTACGATATTGAGGCCTGAAATCTAATATGGAAATTTTGCTTTCCTTAATCTTTCTTGTAGAATTAAAAGGAGCGTAGAAGATCGGTGTTTTAGTAGATATGGAAAGGCAACATTGCATTGCCTCTTTCCTCAAACATTGCTGTTTTTCAGTTGAGAATTTCCACAGTATGACATAAACCTGGACAGTGCAGTTTTAGGCAAAATTTGACACCTGTGTTGTTGGAGGTCCTGCCTTAAATACAAAGAGGATTGCCAAAGAGATGTGTCCTTCCAGCGGGGCAGCCACACATTGTAGGTGTCACTAGAATATTTTAGAGTAAATTTCAACATGCTCTTCCTATTCTTTATCCATTTTTAGGTTTCTTACCTCCAGGAGAGATGTAGAAACAGTTGAGCTGAGCTTCATGCACCAAAGTGCCCTTAAACTTCACCTCTGTTTCGGCAGACGGGTGGCTGTGAAGCGGCCGATATGCAGGCGTAGTGTGCTGGACAAAGGCTCGGAACATGGTGAATTTCCAGATGTGTTAATAGGTCGATTTTTAAAAATAAGTAAATATCCTGCTCGTGAGCTTCTCTCCCTGTAATTTTTTAAAACCTAGAAACCATTCCCACAGGAATGTTTCAGTGCTACACAAGTTTACATGGCCATATCACCTCGCTGCAAATTTAGGTTACAATAAGTACTTTGTCTTAGAATCCTGAAAATTACACCCTCTTTCTTGGTTCTTTTCAGCCTTGTCTTGTTCTTTCTTCCCTTCTGCGCTCACAGCCTGCGTAAAGATGGGCCTCTCACCCAATGCCTTTACAGGAAAGCTGAGATTGAAATGTGAAGTGAATGGTTTCTGTCAGCCTGTCAGCTCATCACCTCCCTGAGGCATGATGGTCTCTGGTTTTTATACATCACCACAAGCGGCTCTGATATCCCCTCTTGTGGAGAAGAGTGATAGGTTTGTCCAGGGGTTGGTAGGCCTTGGGCCTAAGAGGCGCAGAAAACTTCAGTTGGAATGTGCACTTTAATGTTGTGCACGGCGCCTTTCCGTGGAATGCAGCTCAAGTTGCAAAACTATTTTAGGGAGAAAAAGATTAGGCCTGGTTCTACATTTTATCTTGGTGCTACATTTCAGTAACCAGGTCTGTTGGGAAATCTGTTTTTCCCCCCTTGGCTATTTAAATTTTATATGCAAACTAAAAATTAAGTGGGATGAAAAGAGCTATTTCAAAATGATCCATTTTAATCTTAAAGTCATGTTGCTTTAGAGATAAATGGTCGCCTTAAAGAAATCTCCACAATGTTTTAAATAATCACTACAAACCCAGTCTTTCCTTCATTCTGCTTTGACGTCTGAAAGATGTTTTCATAGCATTTTCCCTCCCTCAATCTGCATTTGAGTAATCTCACAGTAATGACATTGTCAGACTGCTTTTCTATTTGTATCAGCAGTTTCCTTGGCATCCTATCCTTATGAAAACCTAGTTCCTTATGTCAAATGCCACAAATGTGTAACATCAAAAAAAATGACACCCAAAACATTTCTGCTAATATGTTCTGCTGATGAGACACAAACAGCTGGTTTTCCCTCTGCCATTGGGCCTCAGATTTCTTAGTTATGCTGTGTCTTTCTTCCCTGCTACCACCTTTCTCCTTTGATAGTTTTGGAAAACTCAGTCTCCAAGGAAAGGAAGTTTTCACTGTAATTAAAAAATAGACCAGGCTCCTAGTTTTGTAACTAAGATTAAAGCCACCAAAGCACATAAAGGTATTCCGATTTATTAAGTCGTCGAACGTCAGTGACCCAGTCCACTTTGACTTAGGAGAACATGAGGTTGGGCGCATGTTAGTGTGTAGGAACCTGGGGGGGGCAGTCAGAGTAGGCAGTTAATGTTGACGGACCGAAAAGAACCTCGAATGAAGGTTGCCAATACACATTTAATGATCTTGAGATGAAAGGATTTCTTTTTGATATAAAGACTGTCACAGCACATAGGCTTCAGTTCTTTTTTTCAAAAGATTGTCGATGTAGTAGAGGAGAATATGTGTATTTCTAAGAGGATGAAGTAGTCCTGTTCAAGAGTAAGACAGAAGGTTTTTTCCACTTTTTCCCCTTCACGTGTAGGTAGGTCAGATCAAGATTCCTGGTATACTCATTGTACAAAAAGTTGAAAACCCCACTGCCACCCTTTGCCATGTTAGTAGTTCAGATTTTTAGGGTTCCTTTTTAAGATATCTACTTAAAATAGCACTAAAAAGCCATTTCTTGTACTTTTTGGTATCTGAATCATTACTGACAAGAAGCAGAAATTCTACACTGAGGCATTGGTCAGGTGAGTGGGAAAAAAAATTGTAGTTAAAATATCACAGCTGTTTTAATGACCAAATAATATTCATATAATTAAATGTTTTGAAATTTTAAATTGAAAAAGTTTTCCTTTTAAAAATATATTTTGTTGGTTTTCATTGCCCTGTGATAACATTGCTGCTATTTTCAACGAAGATTTTAAAAATGTGTATGTAGTTAATGCATTACTTACATGATTAATACCACCGGATCGTCAACTAGGTATCGATAAGTGTATTTTGGAACCGCTTAGGCTTTGCTATAGAAATGATGTAGATAGGCACACACTAAAGTATATAATTTATTTCAAAATTGTTAAATGAATCAATAGCAGTATATTATACCACATTTTTCTTTTATTACTAAATGATTAAATCATAGTGATACCTAATCTTTCAGCGGTTCTAAGTTTTCTGTACAAACATTTTGAAGTCAGAGATTTATTATGGAATTTTATTTTTTCTTGCACCTTATCCTAACTTACAGCTTAAAAAGCCAATTTTTAATTAACATATTCCTGGGAGAAGGAGAAGGTAGAGAGGTTTCTAGGCCATATTTGTGCATCAGGTTTCTTAATACTTAAAAATAAAGATGAAACATGTATGAAATGTACAAGTGAAGTATAAAAACAATGACGTTTCAAAGCAAGGAATTTAGAAATTCTGACTTCGTTTTCGATCTATATTTATTTGTTTAAGAAGTGTTTACCAAGTGCCTGTTATGTTCAGGTGCTGTGTTTTTAAGGACAACGTACTTTATTGGATGTGTGTGTGCATTAGACACTGCAGAGTTCTGTACTTTATTGGATGTGTGTGTGTGCATTAGACACTGCAGAGTTCTGTACTTTATTGGATGTGTGTGTGTGCATTAGACACTGCAGAGTTCTGTTTGGGCTGAAAGAATTCCAGTGCTGGGTTTTCAAGCTTTACCTTCAGTAATTGGCCTCATTTATTCAACAAGTATGTATTTTCCTTCAAGATGGTAAGGAAATTTCTTTCCATTTTGTAGTTCTGAAGATTCTCATAATTTGATGTGTTTTTTGCAGTGTCCATTTATGGAATTTGGTTCTATGATAAGGAGGAATGCCAAAGAATTGCAGAGCTTATGAAAAAGTAAGTGCTGAAGGCTAAGTCTTCTCAGAACCTGGTGCCTCTGTTCGTACTCCTGCGTGTGTGACTGCACTCCGGTTGTAACAGAGTGTGTCTCTTACGGCAATCCTTTTGCAGAGGTTGGGAAAGCATTACTCTTGCTTTATAAATGAGAAATAGACACCAATAACAACTTTTTACATTTTCACAAATTGTAGATACGATATATCATGTAGAGTGGTTCATGTCGTTTTCTGTCTGCATGTATGAAATATCAGTAATAAGAGTTGTTCCAGAGGGCAGTTTTCCTTAATATCTTCCTCGTTTGTAAATTAGCACTTCTTTTCTTTGAAAAGTTATCAGTATGTCTATCAGTAAAAAGAACCTTCAGAGCCATTCTAAAAGGCTGCTCCAGATTCCCTAAGATCATTCATTTCCTTCCTACCCTAAACACTTTCCTTTAACTGCGTACCCATCCATGGTCGTAGGCACACAGAATTTCCTCCTGTGTCTCAAAGGCTGTGAGTACTTAGTCTTTCTTTTCAATCTCCTTGGAGATAGCTGAGTTAGTATTAGTTTAGTGATCAGTAGACAGTCTCTCTCTCTTTTTTGTTACTGTTTCTTGTAGTTTCTCTTTCTTGTAATCTCATGATATCTTGTGATTTGTCCCATTCTGCGTTTTGGGAAACAAACTCCTGTGACTTTCCCACTCTTGGCTTCCCTGATTGCCCTGAGAGGAGGGCCCGGATAAGCATGCTGTCTCCTCAGCGGTTGGTCAACTCTCTGATGAGTTCTTGAGCCCCATGGCTGCTCCCTGTGAGGCAGTTATTTCCCTGCTGTTTGTGGGGCCGGTTTAGAGCCTCAGAATGAGGTGAGTTTCCTGCCCGTGCTGTACTCAGCCAGTGACTGGACTCAGCTGAGCACATAGTATGGCTGCTGCCCACACAGATTTGACAAAGCAGCTCCATCTGCAAAAAACGCTTTTTCCTATTTTAAATCCTGGGGCAAGGAAATGACTAAAAAGTGACCCCCAAAAATGAAATGTGGGGAGCACTTTTTTATAAATAAAGATTGATGTCTGAAAATCTAGTGTGTGATAGCTAATTTTAGGCTACTAGCTCAAGTTGCAGGTGGTGATTAAGTGTGTTCAAACTGGTATTTACCACTATAACAACCAGTTCCTAGAACCTTTGTGTTATTGTGAACTGTGCGATGGAAAATAATAGCAGGATTTCATATAGGTTAAAAAATACCCTGTAGCTCAGCCAAGAGGCCGTGTTAAACTCGTGAGCGTTCTGCAGGGATTTCTTAACAGCTGGGGCGGGGCATGATTGCTGACTGGCAGTGAGCACCTGATTTGTGTGGACTCTGAGCCCTTCCTCAGTTAGAATTCAGTCTCTCAATGAATTCTCAGATCTCTTCTGCCATAAACTTCGTGGCATTTATGAAAGAATCTGAGCTTGAAGTTAAAGCACACAAAAGGAAGAATCTTTTTCTCAGTGTCATCTCGCAGCGTATAGGAGCAGCTGGTCTCCCTTCAGTCCTGTTTGCAGGAAAGCAGATGACACTCTTTATTGCTCTGTTTTTAATGCCCCCTCTTCTAGACTGGAATCTTCACTGTGTTTCTAAACCGCCAGAGAACTCCAGGCCTTGAGTTTCTGGAGTCAACCTTGCTTTGACTTCAAGGCACTGTGGAACGAGGTGGGAAATCTCAATTTGCCATGCAGTTTGCTCGGGGTTTGAGAACTCTAAATTGGGTTTCTTCAGTAATTAATGAGTCGTTTCAAATGTTCTAAATAAGTTGGCAGACTTTTTCTGAAAAAGACCAGATAGTGAATATTTTAGGCTTTGCAAGGCCATGTGGACTCTGTCACAACTACTCAACTCTGCCGTTGGTGTGAGAAAGCAACCATAAACGATACGTAAACAAATGAGCTTGCTGTGTTTGTAACCTTCTTTACAAAAACAGGTGGTGGGCCAGATTTGGCCTTCAGGTGGTATTTGCCCAGCCCTTCTCCAGACCATATCTGTTAGTCAGTGTACTCAGGACCTCCCCTCTCATTTTTCTTCTTTCAATTCCTAAGCAATCTTATTTCTAATATGATTATAACAGGATAAAAACAACTGGTGAGAATTGGATGGTTTTACAAACCATTTCTGTTGAATTGGTTTTTCTTTGTGGATTTCCCCCTCTATTTTTCTAGCCTAACTCAATATGAACAGTTGAAAGCCCATCAGGGAGCTGGAGCAGGAATCTCCCCAATGATCCTCAATTCAGGAGAGGGCAAGGAAGTCGATATCTTACGAATGCTCACCAAGGCCAAAGATGAATACACAAAGGTGAGTTTTTGTCCTCCTTTATGATCCACACTTAAATTCCACAGTGGGAACATACTCTTTGGGAAAGACTTAGTGCTATTAATTCTACCAAACAAAATTGTATGAAAAATAAAATCATTATTTGCTTTTAGTGGGCTAAAGAAAACTGTTTGCTTTTAAGTGGATTAAAACGTAGCCTGAGAAATCAGGAGCCTTCATACGTACAAATGGTGCCAACCAGAAGATTTACTAGAAGATCCCATTACAGTAGCAACAAATTATTATAAAATTCTTTGGAATAAAGTTAATAAGAAATGAGCAACAGTTATAGGAAGAAAACTTTTAAACACTCCTGAAAGGTGTAAAAATAGGCTTGAACAAATGGAAATATCTGTCCTAATCTTGGATTAGAAGATAAAACTGAAAGCTCTCACTTCTTCTTAAATTAATCTATAAATTTAAGATGATTCCTAAACAAATACAAAGTGGTTTCTTTTCTTCTTTTCTGGATCCAGACAAGTTGATTATAAGGTTAACGTGGAGAAGTAAACAGGGAAGAATAGCTGGGAAACCCTGGGAAAGAAGAGCAGTCTTGCGTGGGAGAGAAGAGGGGAGCAAGCCCCACCAGTGATAGTAAGACATTAAAGCCTAAATACTTAAAACAGGATCGTGTTGATGGTATCGACGCACAGATAGCCACACAGCCCAATGGGACAGATGAAAAAGTCCAAAGTGAGACCCTAAGGTATATGAAATTTAGGATATGATAAAGATGAAAATCTCAAATCAGTTATTTGAATGGATTTTTAAATAAATGATGTAGAATGGATTTTTCCAAATTTGGAACAATACAAAATTGGGTCTGTACCTCATACCATATACCAGGAGAAATTCCAAATGTATTAGAAATTTAAATGTAAAAGTACAACCATTCAAGTACCAGAAGAAACTTCTATGGGTTTCTTTGTAATTTGGAAAAGGAGAAATCTTCCTAACTATACTTCAAAACCCAAAAGCAATTAATTCAGCTACGTAAAAGTAAAAACTAATTTTTTTACATGGTTTAAAAAGAAAAAGCAAAGTAAAAAGATATAAAAACTGAGAAGAGTGGCCGGCCCGGTGGCGCAGCGGTTAAGTTCGCACGTTCCGCTTCTGGGCGGCCCAGGGTTTGCCGGTTCGGATCCCAGGTGCGGACAAGCCATGCTGTGGTAGGCATCCCACGTATAAAGTAGAGGAAGATGGGCACGGATGTTAGCTCAGGGCCAGTCTTCCTCAGCAAAAAGAGGAGGATTGGCAGCAGATGTTAGCTCAGGGCTAATCGTCCTCAAAAAAAAAAGAGAACCTGAGAAGAAATGTTTACACCTAAATAACAGGAAGAAAGTCAATTTCCCTACTTTATAAAGTGCTTCTATGAAAATTGAGAGGTAAAAGATTAACACTCTCTAGAAACCTGGGCAAAAAATAACATTAAGAAAAAAGAAAAGAAAAATCCTAGAATTGAGAAACTAGCTGAATTAAATGTATATAACTGAATATCATATTATGACATAATTCCTTTGAAAAGAAATGAGAGTGGCTTCAGAACCCAGTATTTGAGCTGAACACCTTTAGGGTAATATATTTTAAGAACAAAAATTACTGCAAAGAAATTATAAACTTTCTTCCATGGTTTTATTGTTAGTAGTAATATTGCCATTGTAATTTTTCAACTGTCAGGGGATATAATAAGTATTTATGTGGTCAGAACAAAACCTTCAGTGTAAGAGAAAAAAATAAAGTTCAAACTGTATAATGTTAAATTTTAAGTGGAACTCTCAGAATTAGTTCATATTTTGTTTCTTAAATATGTAGTTCTTAACTCTTTTCTTGAAAAGACTTAGAAATGAGTGACAACCCAGAAGCAATAACCACCAGATTATTCTTTCCAAATACTCTTCTCTCCTAGAAGGTATCAGGGCTCTTTAAGGAAATTCCTGACTACAGGTCTGGGACAGGAAAGTCAAACAAATAGGGTCATGTGAAAGGGGTACAGTAGTCAGCTTGAAGGAACCACTGACCAAAGCGTCAAATTCTAACATCAATAAGAATGACTTCAGTGGATTGAAACACGTTGAATATATAAAACCTATGAGTTTGTAGTGATGAGAGAGAGCAAGCAGATTGAAAATAAGAAACAAAATAAAAAATAATTAGTGGCTATCCTTGGAGGTAGTAGGACACCAACTCCTTCCTCTGAAAATTGGTATTAAGAATTAAGGGTTTATCTTGCCTGGCCAGTATGGACCATATTTCAGAATAACCAGATAATCCTGGTTGATGAGGGAAAGTTCTTCTCTACCAAAGAATTCTAGCTGTTAAATGTAGATAGAACTTAAAAACACCCTGGTGAAATAACTGAGTCAGGCAATGATCATCAGTAATGTTTATCTTATGAAGATAGGTTGATGGAAACTTGACCAGGGAAGGATCAGGCTGCCACCACCTGAACCCACTGATCAGCATCATTAAAAGTTGAACAACCAGACATTGTGTGCCTCCTAATGCGATATAGTGTGAAATATATAGCACCACCTTGAAATATTCTTGCCAGAAGAGTTGATCCTGATCTCAGTCTTACATGCTAACTTTCTAGTTTACAGAAAATGAAAGAGAGGAGGTTAGAAGGGCAGGTAGAAAAACAAATTAAATGACCCCACAAGGAAGCAATCAGAAAAATCTTGAACAAAGTGAGACGTACTAGAGGACAATTGACCAAGTTTCTTCAGTATGCCTTTAAATTTGTTGTTGATTCATCCTTGATTGACTGTGAGCTCCTTGAGTACAAAGAACATCCCTTATTCATCTTTATATCCCTCGTCTTCTTCAAAGTTCCTGGCACATAAGTGCTAAATAAATGGTTGTCGAATGAATCAGTGCATATGAATATGAATATGAAGATGAATAAACCACAGTTTCATTATCCTGTCATGGAGCCTGGACAGAGATGCTTTAATCCCAGTTTCTGTCATTAACAACCGTTTTTGCATAGTCACGTGCTGTATAACAACATTTTGGTCAACGACGGACCACAGGTTATGACAGTGGTCCCGTAAGATTAGTACCATATACCCTAGGTGTGTGGTAGGCTATACCATCTAGGTTTGTGTAAGTACTGTACGAGAGGAAGACATTTTCCTCTGTCCTTCTAGGTTCTTCTGGCTGGTCCAAGAATTAAATTGACATGAGACAGATAGGAGAAAAACAAACAAAAATTTAATAGCATGTATACCCGGGAGAAACCCAGGAAAACCAAGTAACTCACCAAAATGACTGAAGTTCTCTCCTTAAATACCACCCTCAGCTAAAGACGAGAGAGGATGTTGGGGATGGGGAGAGTCAGGGACTTCAAAGGGAAGGAAAGCAATTCACAGGTAAGTGAAAAGGAGCAAATGTTTGGAAAACAAGTGTTTGGCCACACAGAAACAGAAGAACACAGAAGGGAGGATGTTGGGGATGGGGAGAGTCAGGGACTTCAAAGGGAAGGAAAGCAATTCACAAGTAAGTGAAAAGGAGCAAATGTTTGGAAAACAAGTGTTTGGCCACACAGAAACAGAAGAACACAGAAGGGAGCCCAACAAACAAGCTTTTCTAGGTTCCTCCCTCCCTACCACCTAGTTCATGTGATGCCAAGGTGATAGCTCGCTTCCTGAAACAGATTTTTTTTTTTTTTTTGAGAAAGATTAGACCTGAGCTAACTACGTCCAATCCTCCTCTTTTTGCTGAGGAAGACTGGCCCTGAGCTAACATCCGTGCCCATCTTCCTCCACTTTATACGTGGGATATCTACTACAGCATGGCTTTTGCCAAACAGTGCCATGTCCGCACCGGGATCCGAACCAGCGAACCCCAGGCCGCTGAGAAGGGGCACATGCACACTTAACCGCTGCGCCACCAGGCCGGACCTGAAACAGTTTTTTTTAATCTGAATTCTTTTAGGCAGTTAAGGGGGAGGTAACAAAAAAACTTTCGGAGTCTTTTGTTTTGTAAAGATAATCAGCCTAAAATAATCCTCATGTGAGAGAGACACATTCTGGGGTGGCAAATTTTGTTTCCCTTCAGTACACACTATGATGTTTGCACAATGATGTAATCACCTAACAAGCATTTCTCAGAACATGTCCCCATCGTTGAGTGATACATGACTGTATGAGTTTTTTAATTTTGTTTACTTCTTCAACAGTTATTAAAAGATATCCTAATGACTTGGCAACTAGTCAATTATACTTTACTAATTGTACTATGTTAGGCACACTAAAGATTAATCTTAAATCTAGGACTTGGGTTTTGTGAAGACAGCATAACAGTGACCAATAAATAATAAATGTAAATATTGAACAAAAATTATTCCCTTTCTTCTCCCTGCCTCCTCTCAGCACACACACACATGTTGTGTTGTTTATATTTTACGGTATTTTGACATCTTAAAATCTTCTGGTTAGGGAGAGACTGCCCCTCCCTTGGCTTACCAGCTCTTAGAGACAGCACAGGGCCCAGCCAGGAGCGTGCCTTTGATGCAAACTAACCAGCCCAGGCCTTCCCTCCCCTGTCTGTCCCATGCACCCCAGGAGGCCAGCTTCCTCTGTCTTAACCCTCTCAGGGCCAGGTCAGGCAACTAGGGACCACTCCTACAGTTTAGAGCCCACTGGAATTATTCAAACTAGCCAATCCTAAGGTGCAGAAACCCAGTAAAGGCTCTAACCTCAATTTTCCCTTCGCTCCTGCTTTCTGCCTCCTGACCACCGTAAGGCTTTGCCAGGTGGCCCTGTGTAGGGTGCTGTGCCCCTGTCTCCAGGACCTGTGAATATAGTGAACTGTATTTCCTGAGCCTCCCCAGTGTCTCCTCCTGTACCCACAGCTGACTGACTGCCTCGTAAAAGAACACAGAACACACACACACTCAGAGACATTCATACGTGGTTTTGGAGGCTTAATTTGGGCCATCATTTTATACTATTCCTACAACTTGGAATATTTTTCCTCTCATTTTTTTTGCCATTCAGAATCTACATATCTTTTCAGGCCTAGTTAAAATGCCACTTTTTACATGGAGTTTTCTCAGATCTCTTCATTCAAATTAATTATTCTCTCCACTGAACTTACCAGTCTATTACTATTTAGAACTTATTTCATTCTTCCTTATTTACTATGTTTAAGTCAACTTTTCCCACTACACTATTAACTTGTTGAAGTCAAAACAATGTTCTGTCATCGTTATGTCCCCGCAGATTGGTTGTTACAGTGTTGACATGAAGTGCAGATGTTTGATAAGTGTATAGATTGTTTTTCTATAAAATCAAGTACATGCTATATGCATGATGTTAATTGCTCCACGTGTGAGTTAAATAACAGAAGGAATTATTCCTTCTGCCGTAACAGCCACATGACGTAATGTGACCTTTCGAAGCACCTACATGATCACGTTACTTCTCTGCTCTGACTCCTCCCTGGTTTCTCATTGCCTAGTCTGTGAACCCTTAGACTCATCAGCATTCCATAGCATGGCCCCAGATCTTCTTCTGACCCCACCGCCTTCCTCCCACTGCCCCTACAGATAGTTGAAACTCCTACTAAACCCAAGAACAGTTTTTCTTCCTGAAAGTGCCTTCATGCCTTTTCCCATGCCCTCCGTTTTCCTTCTTTAGCATCAACAAATGATCAGCCTTTCAATGCCCGTTTCAAACATTCTTTGTCCGCCGTGTGATTTCAGGATCAACCAGATGTGTATGTCCCACTGTAAACTTCCATTGCGTTGTATAAACCGTTCCTGTATTTGCCTTACGTTTGTGTATCTCCCCTTCCCCCCACCCTCAGACATTTCAGAAAATGTGGAGATCATGAATAAAATGGTTCTTAGGTACAGGAGAGGGAGGAAATGGAAAGAGGACAAAAGAGAAAGAAAACAAAATTTTTCCTCAGAATTCTTGTTGTGAGGAAGTGAATTTCCTATTATTGGAAGTATTCAAGAAAAGACTGATTACATACTGGAGATATTATAAAAGAATTTCACTTCTCTGGATAAGTATTACACTAAATGACTTCTGAGATCCTTTCCAACTCTAAAATTCTTAAATTTATGAAAATCCCAAAAAGTAAGAGGAGGAAACATTTTGAGCTGAAGGTATATGATATTGGTAAAAGTGAAGCCTAGTGACACCAGATATAACTTTTTACCTGAAGATAATAAAATAATTTGAAAATCTTATTTGGGCCAATATTTTGTGTTTTCTCCCCCAAGAAACAATTTTCTGTGAATCTGCTGTAAAGTAGCAATGCTGTTAACTTGAGCTTCATCTCCTTTCACCTCTTCCCTTCTAATTGAGAGGCAAGTGAACAATAAAATAGCAAAACCTCAGTAAGAAAGAGCCAGGGCCAGAAATGATCTGTAGGTTGCATGGTTAGGTTCTCAGTATTCAGAAGTGACTATTCTGTGTTTTAAGATTATTTTGTGTTTTGTGGTTTAAGGCAAGAATTCATAGTTCTTTTCTAGATAAAGCTGTGACTTATTTATGAAATTGAAGAAATTATTGTCTTTTGATGTTCAATGAGAAAATTCAAAAAAGTATAAAAAAGAAAATAAAAATTACCCATAATCCTGTAACCCAGAGACGTCTACTTTTAATACTTATAGTGTGTTTTCTTTCAGAAGATAATTAGTCTTTTGTGCTTTAACTTTATAAATGTACGTGAATACGAGTCTAGGAGACCCCATGTCCTTATGTCCTTGAATTAGAAAATACATCCCAATCACTGTAAAAAACGTTGTGAACCTTGGGTTCCTAAGGGACCAGATTGTGTTTATGGCTCATTCCGTGTGAGAGACAGTGTGAAATATTTTCTGGCCCAAGGCCTTGACTGTACAGCTGAAACTAACAGTGCTGTAGAGAGTCTATAATACAGAAGGTGGCATTTTTCTATTCAGTTTTATTCAGTGTTAACAAGGTAGACACTGATATCATTGCTGTGCTCTTTTTGTTATGAATGCTACTGTGTTAGCAATTGCATGGTTGGTTAGATTAATGTATGATAATGATTCAGTATTTGAAATGATGAGGCTTGTCTCTTGTCTCTTTCTCTGTGAAATTCTAATTTGTAGTGAGTGGCTCAGAACACTCAGATTTGAATTATTCTGTTTATGCAAGAAGTCATTTATTAAGTAAAGATGATGTTAGTAATTTTTAAATCAGTGGTTTGAATCAGCTTCACTTTTTGGTTTGTAGACCAAAAAGGTTTCCTTGCTTTGAGGATACATCTCTCTAGTTTTAAGTCAACTGCTAATCAGGAAATAAAACCCTGCTGCAGTCTAGACATGTTATTTCAGGAGTAGTTTCTGTCATTGTTTGTTACTGAAAAGCATTAGACTCTGTATTTTTAAACTAGTCCTTCTTGCACGTATCTCTAGCCTTCCAAGTATCCAAGTATCTAAGAGCCTGTCAGTCAAAGGCTGATGTTGTTGGTAATATTTTAAGGCACTGAATTGTGCAACTAAGAAAAATTAAATTTGAATTCGATTTATACTCAAGTATAGCTCATATCCGAGGAAATTAAGGGATTTTTCTTGGTACATGAAAATCCATCAAAAAAATAGCTACTAATTAGATAAAATAAAGAGCGAGAAGGTATGTTCTTTTAAGAAGATTAAACCTCCTTTTACACCAGAATTGAGTTCTTTTTTCCATTCCAGTGCAAAACCTGCTCTGAGCCAAAAAAGATAACCAGTTCATCTGCCATCTATGACAACCCCAATCTCATCAAACCAATTCCAGTGAAGCCCAGTGAAAACCAGCAACAGCGCATCCCTCGGCCCAGCCAGGTAACGACGTCCTCTGCTTTTCCTTTGTGGTGTCTCTATAGGACTCTTAAAGAATTTCTACCCAGAGCATAGTCAAGGGAGGGCCTGGTACTCTTCAAGGATACCTTAAGGTAAATCCAAGAAAGAGATGTCAAATTAGATTTTTTCATTATAAATAATTTACTTTTCCTAGAAAGGGGTTAAAATTTTTTCTTTTGGCATTTACCATACTCTGTGCTAATCTCTTCTGGACTTGAATCCTTTGAGGATAGTGTATTTTAAAAAAAATGACAAACTAATAACATAGAGCTGACAGGAATATCACCCATCAGGCCCATATTCTTCTGAGGTAGATAGTTGGTTTCCCAAGGCCACTGAGAGAATGACAACCAAGGCAACAAAATCCAGTGTAACATTTCTGAGCACCTCCTTTGTACCAGGTACAATGCTAGGCACTCTGTACAGAGAAGGGGATTCCTATTCTAAGGAGTGGTATAAAATTCCCCTTTAGACCCAACGATTTGTCATTGTGCTTGCATCTAAAATATAAATATAATAGCAGTTTTTGTATGAGTATGTATTTTTCAGAGTAGTACAGCATTAACAAAATTGCTAATCTGTGAGTGCCATTATTGATTGTAAACATAATGGGTCTGTTTCCATTTTTTATGGTTATTTCTCATTAAAGGTTTTTTTTTAAGGAATTAGTTTAAATCAATTTTGAAAATGAACATGGAGCCAAAAGACATAAAGACTGACTAATGAAAGTCTTGTATTGAATTTTTTAAAAAATAAGTCTTTTCTAATTATCTTTTAGCTTTTATTGTTTGCTTTCCATGGGAATTTTTTATTTTCATACAGAAGCCAGCTTTAGGCTTTAGAATGAAGCTCATGTTTTCTTAGCCCGACAATAGAGAAAGCCTCAGAAAGAGGAAGAGGTGCTGTAGAGCAGAAAGGAAAGAGCTTTTGTAACTGGCCCGGCCAAGGTGGAGTTCATGTATTTGGCAATTTTTTTAAAGCTACTGGTATATAGTTGAAAGGTTCAAGTTAGACTAAATGACTTACATTTCTTTCCAGCCCTAAATTTCTGTAAGTCTTCGAAAGGCTACTGGGTATTCTGAACTCCTCACATTCCTGTGTATTCTCCGTGTCTCCTTGTACTTTGCAGGATGAGATAGACTTCCTGTTGAAGAGGTTATTTACCTTTTAGTGTATACAGTTTGGACATAGTGGCCTCCAATCTGTGAACCCCAGGTCCATCAAGGATCATATGCCTATTTTGTCAATCAGCAGACACCAAAATATAACAGCTGTCTTGGGAGCAGTAGTGGGGAATGCTGTGAAGATTTTTGACATTAAAAAGGAGGTCTCATTTTTGTAAAGTTCATCATAATTAAGTGTTTCATCCTCTCTAATTGATCTTTGTAAGTAGAAGAAATTCTTGGTTAGGTACGTTATGTTTTATAGCCTTCTATATAACCAAGTTGTATGTAGACCCATTTTCAGGTATTTTTATTTTTTCCAGACCTTAGACTCTGAACCCCAACACTTGTCCTTGACAGCTCTCTTTGGAAAGCAGGACAAAGCTACATGTCAGGAAGCTGTGGGGCTCCCACAGTCCCTCCACCAGCAGCAGCAGCCACAGCAAGAGAAGTTTCCAATTCGGCAGGGAGTTGTACGCTCCCTGTCCTATGAGGAACCCAGAAGACACTCACCTCCCATCGAGAAGCAGCTCTGTCCGGCCATTCAGAAACTCATGGTCAGGAGTGTCGACCTCCATCCATTGTCAGAGCTGCCTGAAAACCGGCCCCACAAAAATGGCAGTACCTCTTCTGTTAGGGAAGTTTTTACTGGATCTGTCCAGCCGGGGTCCCCCCATAGCATTGGCACTTCTCATTCTGTACAGAGTGCTTCCAGAACTCAGAACCTGTTAGAGAAGCTTCAGAGTGCCCCAGGGGCAGTGAACAAGTACAGTGCTAGGACACCAGCACCTGCTAGCTCAGCTGCCCCGAACTCCAGCAGAACTGTCACTGCTGCCACCCCTGCAGCTCCACCACAGGGGCTGGCTCAGGCACAACTGGTGTATTTCAATGGCTCCCTTCCACCTCAGACACTAGGACACCAGGCTCATGGAAAAGAACGGTCCACACTCCCAGCGCAAACGCTCCCCGTCCCTGACAATCAGCCTAGCAGCTCTGGAGTGATCTCCCCTCAAGAGTTACTGAGAAAGCTTCAGATTGTGCAGCAGGAGCAGCACCTGCATGCGGCTCCCCGACCAGCCTTGGCAGCGAAGTTCCCTGTGGTCACTCAGAGCTCTGGAGCAGGGAAGCCCTTGGCATCCTGGACCGACAAGACATCCAGCACAGAGAGGCAGGCTCCTCTCTTTCAGGTAAATACCTCCCAGGGGTGGGCCAGGGGAGGGTCTGGTTATCGTGCATGAGATTGAAAATCAGCTTCTGTGCTCTAGGGGCATTTCTGTTTAGAATGGGGTGCCAGAAGCCATGTCTGTGCATCTCACTGTCACCTTAACTTTCTGCCTGGGAGAGACTCCTTGCTTAGCCGTCTGGGAGCTTCCCTCCTTTTAGAGATACTTTATTTGTAGATCTAATCTTCACAGTGTTAGAAGGTCTGAAGACATGGACGTGAACATGAGAAACCCTTATCTTTGACTGCGGAAACTTATGGTCTCTCTGAAACCGCTCTGGGACACCAGACATCTGACCTCTCTTGTTATTTCAGTCCACGGTAAATTATCGCTCATTCATGTATTCAGTGACTGTTTCTGAGCACTTACTGCGTGCCAGGCATTGTGCTACATGAGGGTGACTAGTGCTGAAGAGAGAGACTCCCCACCTTTACAGAGCCCCCATTGTGTGGGTGCCTGAAGTCAACAGAAAAAACTTATCATAACTCCTTAAAGGGGCAGCCTATTCTTGTTGACATTGCCAGTCTAGCTTAATAAAGATCAAGAGAGGGATAAGTATGCCATTTAAACAAGTAGCCAGAGAGAGGAAAATATTGTCATTTTTAGAAATATTCTGTCCTTCGAGGAAGATGGTCCTGCATTCATCAGGAGCGTGCGACAGTGAGAGCACCACACACTGTCCCATCGCCTGTAGGGACACCTGCAGACCTGACTGGCGTTTTTCTATCTGGATTGATACAAATTCATTGAAAATGAATTTCATTTGAAAATTAGGACCCTGTCCCAACTTATCACATATATCATCATTGGTCCCTTTGTCATTTTTTGGCAAGTAGCTCATAAGGGTTCCTCAAATATCTTTCACTTTTTTGAAAACAAAGATCATAGGCATGTAGTATAAGCCTTTGTGTATGTGAGACCCTGAGGCAAAGTGTTCTTGTTTGCTATTCATTAAACTCTCAAATTAAGTACCACTGCTGTAGAAACAATGCTTGTCACTCACCCGCATTGTTATTTCAATGTAATATTTCAATGTAGTATGTCCCTGTTTTTTGTATCTGCTTTTTTTCTCTTTGATGATTTAGATTGGACACTAGGAAAATTGGGTTAATAGTTTGACATAAACTTCTGCATGCACAATTCTCTTTTCTTTTTGGTGCTCGCAAGCGTGGAGAGCCGAGTAAGAAGGTGCACATTTTGTCAGCCCACACTGTGCTGTTAACGGTGCTGGGAATCCTCCCTCAGGGAGCATCTGCCCTCAAAATAGCAAATAGGGACAGTTAAAAGAAACAAACAACCTACCTTCCTCTAGGATAGTTTCTGCCCAAAAAGATACTGAGGGAGTGATTGCAAAATTACAGCAGCTTCTAGATTGCTGGTCTTTATGCCCCTCTTCTCGTGGGTTCTGTGGGGGCATTAGGAGGCTGATGAATAACATTCTTTTTTCTCACCAAGTTAGAAACAAATGAGAGAGAGCTGTAGGAGCCAGTCAGATGTCACTGGCATAACTGGAAAAGCTATTGGAAAACTTGATTTTAAGTCTGTTTGCCAACTGAGGTAGACACACTTGCCCGGAAATACAAGTCACTGGTGGTACTGGGCAATACCAACCCCAGGGGTGTGCCCCCAAAACTGCAGCATGGAGAAGGAGACAGTGTGTGCTCTCTGCAAGCAGGCAGAGCCTATCAGGAAAGGACCTGATAGTCACACCTGCCCCTGGTGAGGGGTGAGTGGGAGGCAGAGCGAGCCCGGAGTGTTGCTCTCACAGCACTTCCTCCACGTGAAGTCAGGAGTGGGGCGGGGGGGTGCCCCCGACTAGCACAACAGCTCATGTGGGTTGTTGGGCCTTTAGGTCAGAGTAGTGGACAACTAGCCCTGAGGAAGAGGCCAGCAGTCCTGAGTGTGTGTGCCAGGTGATGATAGTAAACCAGGAAAGTAAAGTATTACTTAGAGGCCAAGCTTTGTATGCGATGACAGCAATAATCACCACCGCAGGCTGTGCGGGAGCTGCTTAGTAACGACGGAGGAAAAGAGAGAGAAGTGAACGGGAGTCTGTTCTCCTGTAAGCTTTTCCCACCCAGTGGAGCTGTGAGCAGTTAGTATTTAAACTCGTTTATATGCACTCTTGCAAGCAAAGGGACTCTTTATACTGTTCGTTTCATTGAGTTGCTACTTACTCCTGCCCTCTGTGTCTGTATTTGCTGTGCGCAGGTCATCTCACCTCAACGCATCCCTGCTACGGTGGCTCCTTCTCTGCTCATGTCCCCCATGGTGTTCACACAACCCACCTATGTCCCAACAAAGGAGAGGGAGAGTGGGCTTTTGCCCCTGGGAAAACAAGAACCAGCTGCTGCCTCCACCAGCCTCCTGCCTCTGCAGAGCCCAGAGCCCTCTGTGATCACCAGCAGCCCGCTCACCAAGCTCCAACTTCAGGAAGCACTGCTGTACCTCGTTCAGGTGGGAGGGCCGCGTCGTCTCTCTTCTTACCCTTACCGATCCTGCTGACCTATTGGTTGCCACTGTGATATAAAGACTCAGTTATCCTACTTAGTACGCCCCCAGAATACTGTTCCTAAACCCCGATGGCTTCTGTGCTCAGTTAGCTGGCTGAAATTCAGAATACTACCTGTGGCTTTGGGAGGCTCACTTCCTCAAGAAGTTTGTAATTTGGAGGGTTGACTAAGTCTTCCAAGCAGCGGCCTGTCAGAGAAGAAGGAAGCACTTACCATATAATTAAACACCCACCGAGAGGGTTCTAGGTGCTGCAGGGTGCCCACACCAAGAGCTCCCCAGTGGGAAATAGATGCAAGAGCCGTCTTGAGCAAGCGGCAGCAGTTAGTGGAAAGTTCAAGCTGCCTGTTCAGACTGTTGAACAAGGAGGAGGAGGAAACGGGTCAGGAAGCAAGTAACAGCTCTGGCTTCCGAGGGCATATTTTACAAATAATTCTGAAACCTGCTAGTAAGACAGGCTGGAAGGAGGGCACTTCTTGTCAGCCATGTGTCTCCCCAGCCTCTCTGAATAATAATGACAGTAACCACTAATATGTACCTGGAGCTCTGTGCCAGGCTCGTCTTTTAAGTGCTTTACACGCATGACTGCACTTAGTCCTTACACAATGACTCTATTATTTTTCTTCTGTTAGAGACAAGGAAACTGACGCTAACTGACTGGCCCAACATCACAGCACTAGTAACTAGTGGAGCAGGGACTCAGCTCCATCTGGCTTCATGCGCTCCTTCCCACCGCACTGGCCTGGGGGCCGCAGTAGGAGCAAGGATGTTGTGAAGATCGCCTTGGGAGCTCTTTCAGCAGTTCACCTGCAGAGCACACCCAAAAAATAAACGACAGGCCTTGAAAAGCAGAATGCCTGTATCTAGACTGCCTTCAGACGCCTCAGTCTGTTAGAGAGTCTTTAAGGAAATGTTTGTGGTCCTTTGCTTACGCTTCAGATGGCTGTTAGAGAGCAGGCTGGTGCTTCTGCAGCTGTCCCATGCTACTGAAAAAGACAGTGGTCTCTATTAGTGAAAACATTTCCTAAGAGTAGTGTATTTTAGAGAGAAGCAAAGGACTGGAGGCTGGAAATCAGCGTCTGAGCGGAAGCAGCAGCACAGTCTGCTGAAGACCTCAGCGGGCGCTTGGGCCGTCCCAACCAGAACATCAGGGTAGAAGTATTGCTCACCTCTCTAAGTCACTCAGGATAATTTCATGAGGACTCACATAGGACAGCTGTAAACTTCCTTTCTGTGAGCAATCAAGAAAAAACCCAAACTAGAAATTTAAAGTTCCATTTTTTTCTGGCTCATTCCATTTAAACCACATTGTTCCAAAGATCTCTGTGCAGGTGCCAAGACTCTGAAAGTCTGGATAAGTCCCTGTACATTGCCGGTTAGGAATGGTATTTATATAATTCCCACTCCGTTTCCTCCGCGCTCTGCCGGACGTTTCGCTTCGCCCGTGTTTTGGATAGCATCTTCTGTGGAGCTGGTAGCAGTCCTGCAGGCAGCCTGCTTTTAGTCTTCGCCTGTCGGGAAGACACAGTCTCATTCGTAGGGACTTTGTGGCTACTTTGTAGGAAGTACAGGGATAACAGCGTTCCTTTCATTCCGTGAGAATAATGCTAACTCTGTGTGTGGGGTGCCAAGAAGGAATGAAGGGGGAGTGTAAATGTGGGTGAATTGCTAAAGCTTTAAAGGATTCGCGTGGGAGGGAGAAGTCTCTAGAATTAAAAACAAAGAAAACCACTGATGAAACCCAAGATTCTCCCTCAGCCCTTAGCCAGGCAAAAGAGCCCAGAGACACCGGTCTAACTGCTACCCGTTTCCAAGACCAAAAACTTTCCATGACTAATGGGAGAACTATACGGGCTTTGATGAGGCACCAGTGAAGCACATTGCAAATAAAACCTTAACTAATGCCCCAAATAAGTATGCGCACCGTAAGAGACTTGGAGGAGATTTGAGAACCACAGCAGTCTCCTAACTAACCTCCAGGAGCCGCTCACCTGGACCGTTTCCTCCCGGTCCAGCCTGCTGTTGGGGCCCTGCGTCCTTTCGCGCAGCCTACCAGGCTCCTCAGACTAGACCTCGTCCATCCTCCACATGGCCGGGCTGCCCATCTGTGCTGTAGGTGATGAGCACCTGCTACTTCACATACCACCGGAAACCTGCCTTGCCTTCAGCCCCACTTAGCATTCACAGATGCAAATAAAAACCGCCAGCTGTTAGAGCGGACAGGTAGAGAGGGGCCTCTTAGGATCAAAATGCTAGTTCAGCTCCGAGACAGGGCAACCTTTTGTTTCTGCCAACCAAATCGTATTCCCTTGGGTCTTTTGATTTTGTTTTCCAGAATGACGACAACTTCTTAAATATCATCTATGAAGCTTATCTCTTCAGCATGACACAAGCAGCCATGAAAAAGACTCTGTGAAAGCAAAACATGTTGAGACTGATTTTCAAGGTCCTCCAGCGCAAGGTTCTTTCCTGTCAAGTGGTGTCACCCTAAATGTTTCTGCCTTTTTAAAAAGTATGTGTAATATGAAGTAAATGTTTCTGACTTTTTTCAGTCAAGCTGTATTTTTCATCACATCCTTCCCTACACCTGGTGCTAAGAATTGAGGGGGTAGAAAAAGTCCTTTGCTCATATCACACAGTAAATGCCAAACTTAAACTACTTTTGTCTTACATGTATGGGGTCACTTCTAGAAGACTTCTCCTCTCTGTAGGAAGGGCTCTTGTGGGAACTTGGTTTCTTGTCTGTTAAAAGTTCAGTCTTTCTTTGAACGCAGAGTGCAAATTTCCCTGTTGCTGAGCTCCCTGTGCCACAGTGTAGGCCCACCACCAGGGGGCAGTGTCACCCCACAGACTAACCTGGTGGACTTGGGACTTTGCTTTTATCAAACTAAACCTTTACAATTGGCTTGTTTTCCCCAGGCCTTTGAAGGGAAATTATTTCTAAAGGTATTTATAGCTAGTTTCTAGAGGATAGTTGTTCCAGGAGTCCACAAATGGCCCAGATTTCCAGTAACACTTCATTTATCCCGGTTCATGTTATTTCCTTTGGACCCAACCAGCAGAATATGCCTGCCTCTGCTTCCGAATGAACAGTTTGTCATTTTTAGCCAAACGTGCTGAGAGGAAGGTCACAGAAGACTTTACAGCCTTTTCTTAGGCTCTAAGGATAGGTTGTGGATTGTTCAGGACCCTGGTGATAAGGATTCTTCAAGCTGTGTAGCAGATTGATTTTTATGTTCACAGAGATGAGGAGCTTCATCTTGGAAGGAGCCTTAGAGCTCTTGCCAAGTTGTTAGGGCCCGAAAGAGTCCGCATGGGAATTAGTCCCTGCTCAGTATTAGTAATAAATAAAGCTTTGCATTTCTATAGTCCTTTTTATTCTCGGATCGTAAAAAGATCTCTAGATGACTGCACAGAAGACAGCCTTTACTCTCATTTCATAGGCTGTAAAAGGAGGCACAGGGAAGTCGGTTTCCTCACGGCTTCTGCTGCCTCGACTTGGTTAGCGCCTTGGAGCTCAGTGCAGGCGCTCCATCAGGCGATGTTCATCAGATGCCGCCTCCGCCCCCTCCCCCGTGCACTTTCTCCTCTGAGGGGAGAGGTGGGCGGAAAAGGAGTCAGCTCTCTCCCGGTCCTTGTCACGTGCCCTCCTTAGACTGAGGCGCCCACTGTTAGTCTCCTGCGTTTAGGAAGGGGTGATTTCTTTTGTTTCTGTGATATCTCCGACAGCATCTAACACAGTGATAAACCCATGTGATGTTCTAACAAGATACTTGAAATTAATAATTGCATGTATATCTCAATATTCTTATAAGGAGAATGGGGCAAGGAGAAAGATACACATGGATCTATTATCCCAAAATCAATGATTGTGCTCACTTCGGCAACACATGTACTAAAATTGGAACAAAATCAACTATGTACTTAACTGATGGCCAACTTTTTTTAAAAAAAAGTCTGATCTTAATTACATGTTTAAAGTTACTTCTCTAGCTAGGGAGAAAGGAATTCCATTTTAAAGACTAGCATCTGAGCTAGCAACTGTTGCCAATCTTTTTTTTTTTTTTAATTCTTCTCCTCAAAGCCCCCCAGTACATAGGTGTAGATTCTAGTTGTGAGTGCCTCTGGTTGTTCTCTGTGGGACCCCGCCTCAGCATGGCCTGATGAACGGTGCCATGTCTGTGCCCAGGATCCGAAGCAGTGAAACCCTGGGCTGCCGAAGTGGAGCACAAGAACTTAACCACTTGGCCACTGGGCCAGCCCCAGGAATTCCATTTTAAATATTTCTAATGTATTTGCAGTAGCAAATGGCTAATTTCCAAAATATTTACTTTTCAATATTGAATAAATATAATTAGAAATATGAGTTGCAGCACCTAATGTGAAAAGATGCATATGTACTGATGTGGTGGAGGAATGAACCCAACTCAGCATGGTCAGAGCTACACTGCAGGCTTCACTCGGGCCTTTTTAGGTCAACACCACAGTGATCTGTTTTGAAAAATAATAAATTCTCTGTCCTTTACTGGAATGAATCACTTTAAAAGTGACAGGCACAACTCATTTAGACCAAAGACTAAAGTCACCCTTTGAAAGGACACTTGGTGATGGAGTGCTTATTTCTTCTCTATGGCAAAGCAGATGAGAGCTTCTTTGTACAAAGAGCTGTCTCCAGAGAGTCCAAGAAATAGATTGAAAGGGTTATCTAAGGCACCCAAAATTAGATTTCGTATATAAATTATCTTTTCTTTTTCCCATTCTCACCCCAAATTCTGAGACCATCACTGATGCCATCCTAGGTGTCATTGGCTCCCAGGAAGCAGTTTTAAGCTAATTGAATTTTTAATGGAACCCTGAGATATTTGTTCCTAAAGGCAGTATTATCCAATGCAGTGGATTCAACCATGTAGAAATGAAGGAAGTCAGTTCTGCCAAAAGAACACACAGCTTTTGTCGAACAGAGTTAACTTCAATTCCTGGACAGGTGAACTTCTCTGAGATGCTGTTTTTCATTTGTAAAACTAATGTAATACCCACCTCACAGGGTCCTTATGAGGAAAATAGGAGCAACATAGGTAAAATGGCTCCTCTGTGCCATGTGCTCTAGAAGTACGAGTTCCTTCCTGCCTGCTCCGCGGTATTTGTTGCGCCCCGTTCTCTGACCCTCAGGGTAAGGCCTGCAGCTGCGGCCGTGGGCTTTATTTGCCATCGGCTGTGACCTAAGTGTTAAGTCTGATATGGATGCTTATGTATCTCTGGTCACTTTGCTATACCCTCTTCTCCCCTTTATTTCTCTATCAATAAAATGAAAACAATAGCGCTTACTCCTTCCTTCCAAAGGAAGTGCCATGAGCTCTTTAAGACAAGAATGTCAGTGTAACCCAAGATGGTATTGTTGTTACTACCCCTGCATTGATGGGTAAAGCCCCATTTAACTGCAAAGACAGAGGAGGGAGTGATGCTAATAGGATTTATAGTCTCTGAGCTTCTGAAAAGATGCACATTGCTCCCTCTCCCCATTTCGAAGGCCCAGCATGGTGGTAATTGCAAAGCGAAAGACACCTTTGTCAGCATCTTCATGACTCCTGGTGTTTGTAGCCAGCCCTGCTGATACCCACAACTGGCTTCTTCCAGCCTTTTCAAAAGGTAGGCCCAGGGCAAAAACATCCCAGACTGAAAGATGACCCCTGAAGGCATACATTGTTTGCATCTGCTAAGTTCATTCTTCTCTCAGACACTTAGCCCGCCTGTGTTTCTCGTGTCCCTGGACAGACAGGACTCTGCTTTCTTCCTCTTGAATGAGAAGGGTGCAGATGAGAGAAGAAGTGCCTCTCCTCCTGAAGAAATTCCAACTGTTGGATAACATTAGCTCTCTTCAGTTCTCTTGGATGTTAAAGAGAAAACTAACTGTTGACATGTGTTAAGGCTATGTCCCTGGGCATGAAGGATGGGAGTGTCACGTCAAAGACCAGGCCCCTGAACACCAGGCTTCTCTTGGGTTCAACCACATGTCAGTACAGATGCCAGGAAGGAGATAAGCTCAGAACTGAACTGTAAAGGACAGTTCTTTATTCTGCAAGGCTGGAGGAGGGTGGAGGTATAGGGTGCAGTATTAGGAATGATGTCTCCAGACTCTGACAAATTGGCTGCTCACTCCTCCCAGCCATAGAGAAGCCTTTTTTGCCACAGTGCCTGGCCTGTCCAGATGTGTGCCTCCTCCGTCTTCAAAGAAATCAGCTTGCTTCCCAGGCTTTGGAACATCAAGCCATCTTTAAGGCTAAATTTGTCATTTGCAGCCAGCAGGTTGTAGCAACACTTCATCATGTAAAGTTGCCTGGCTGCACAGATTGGTGGGTCTCCCCAGCATTTTGCTGAGTGTTTGATTTCCAGGTTTCAAGTGCTCGGCATCCCCCTCCCTCTTACAGTTAGGGGAGGGAGAGAGGCAGTTACAAACACCTGGTATATTTAACTCAACCTGAGTATCTGGATAGGTTTTCACCAAATTGGGTTGTGAGTAATGCCTTCCAGCAGTTTAGAGCCTTGAGAATAGTACATGACAAGAACTACCTGTGCACACTGTGGTCTTAAGACGTCGGGGTCCCTGGGCAGTTGGAAGCAGAGCACGGCGGGGTGATGTTCTTCAGGGCCGGGCGGTGCAGACAGGCCTGTCGCGGAGCCGCTAGCACAGCCCAAACTGTGCAGCCTGGGTTTCTCGGACAAGGTCACCAAGGGCTCGGCAAGAATGAAGTAAAGAATGTTCTAAATAGGCAAGGGAAAGGGTGAGAGTTGTAAGCCAAAATCTAAGAATTTCCCTAAAAGTCGGAGGAGCAAGACAAAAGGCACTAACTACCGAGGTGAACGTCAAGGTGGAGCATCCCACAGAGGCTGGCAGGCCCTGAAGCAGACGCTCCAGAGACGCGGAAGGAGTGCCCTGTTCAGCGATGCCGAGCAACAAGGCCGCTGGTCTAGAAGGCAATATGCTCAGTGGGCCCGTGGTGGAAGCTGCCAGTCCCGTCCACACGCACTTCTGTGGAAGGTGTGCCTAGTGGAAGGAAGTTCCAGCTCCGAGAGATTTCTCTCTTCCTATCACCTGGCTGATAGGTACTGCCAACCATGTCTTTCCTCAGCACAGTGATAGCCTACACAATCAATTTAAGGGCTCACCAAGATGGCAGTCCCAACATGTAGGCTGCCGCGAGCTCCTTATCCCATATGATAAAGTGCAAAGAACATGGTCTTAGAGTCAAAAGAGATCTGGATTTTAATTCCACCACCTCCTGCCTCTTTCCTCAACCAAGAGAGGAATAGGGGAAGACATGATTTTCTGTGTGCTTCTCACAGAAATGTAGCAATTGTCCCTTAGAGTCAGAGGCAGCCATGCTCAGCAGTGGCATTTTCTGTTGGAGAGCGGCCCCGCAGACTGTGCCATGGACGGAGCTTGCTCCTCACTCCCCTCAGCCTTAAAGTTTAGGTGTATCTCAGCCTCTCTCTGTGCCATTTATGGCTCTGTCGTAAACCTGTCTGGAATTCTTCATGATGCTTTTATATTTTCTGCC